CAGCCCCAGGATGTTTCTTTCCACTGCTGTGTCTTTGTATGCTTGCCACTGCCATTGTTCTCTGGAATCTGGCATGGTGTGAGTGGGTGTGGGGGGTCCCCACTGCCCTTAATGTAGTATGATCATCTCTTGGAAAGATCCTGTTGTACTGGGTGTGGGAGCCAGTTCTCAGGTTCCTCGTTGCTTTACCCAGCAGGTCCACATAGAGGATGATTAGGACCACGGGCCTGAGTGCAGGTGTCTGAGATGGTCTGCACTTGGCTGTGCTGGGGGAGGAGGTCTTTTGCTCCACCCCTTGGCGTCTCTATAAAAACCCTGGGGCAGAGACAGTTGGGGCTCCTTGGAAAAGGTTCCAGGCCCCCTCGAGGCAATCATTTACTTTCTATCTGCTTATCTCTGCAAGATTCTCTGCAATAAATCCTTGTATCTAATATTTCCTGCTGCTTACACTCAAGAAAACTCTGGGGAGCTATGGGGTTGGTGGGTAAAGGCCCAACAACTGGGCATTTTTACCTGTGGATTATTATGAAGATGATTTCCTCCTAAGCTGTACTGTTTAACTGAAGCAATGATTTTATACAACAATAGTGTTAGTTTAAATGGGATTTTGATGATTGAGGGTCTTTAATAACTATAGTAAGGGATTATGATGGAGGTCAGTTTAGTGGAAAAATTAACACAGGATAAAATGCTGCCTCTGCCTCTGAAAAGCAAAGGCTGTAAAGGATAAAAAAAAATGAATCAAGGAAGTGTCACACTGATAGAACATGAGTTTCTATTGAGAAGCATACAGACTATGGCTTAGGTTAATGATTAAGAAAAAAATAATTGAGTCAGGATCATTTCATTAGAAAAGACCAGTGACAAAAATCAACTTCATAATAAAAGTCTTTGCCAAAAATAAAATAAATAAATAAATAAATAAATAAATAAATAAATAAATAAATAAATAAAAGTCTTGCAGTGATAAGGGATACAAGGAACATACCTAAACAAAATAAAGGCAATTTCCAGCAAGCCTATAGCCATCATCAAATTAAATGGAGAGAACCTCAAAGTGATTCACCTAAAATCAGGAACAAGACAAGGCTGTCCGCTCTCACCATGTCTAGTCAATATAGATGTGGAAGTCTTAGCTAAAGCAACAAGACAACTGAAGGAGATTTAGAGGATATAAATTGGAAAGGAAGAAGTCAAAGAATATTTACTTGTAGATGATGTGATAATGTATGTAAGTGGGCCAAAATATTCCACAGAGGAACTCCAATGGCTGATAAATACTTTCAGCAAAGTAGCTGGATATAGACTTATCCCACAAAAATGAAGAGCTCTCCTACGTACAAATGGCAAAGGAACTAAGAAAGAAAACAGGGAAAAGACTCCTTTCAAAACTGCCTCAAATTATATAAAATATCTTCAGTAACTCAAATCAAGCAAGTGAAAGGCTTGGATGATAAAACTTCAAGCCTTTGAAGAAAGAAACTGAAGAAGATATGAGAAGATGAAAAGATTGCCCACACTCATAGATTGATAGGATTAACATAGTAAAAATGGCAATCCTACCAAAAGCAATCTGCACACTCAAAGCAATCCCCATCAAAATCCCAACACAATGTTTACAGACCTCAAAGGACAATCCTCAACTTCAGATAAAAAAAAAAATAAAACACCCAACATAGCTAAAGGAATTCTAAACGATAAAAGAACTGCTGGAAGGCCAGCCTGGTCTACAAATCGAGTTCCAGGAAAGGCTCAAAGTTACACAGAGAAACCCTGTATCAAAAAACCAAAAGAACTGCTGGAGGTCACACAATTCTAGACCGCATGCTGTACTACAGAGGTATAGTGATAAAAACCACATGGTACTGGAATAAAAACCGACGCATCCCTCAATGAAATAAAATTGAAGACCCAGGCATAAACCCACACTCCTATGGACACCTGGGTTTTGATTAAAAAAAAAAAAAAAAGAAAAAAAAAAAGAATCCAGAAATAGACACTGGAAAACAGCATGTTCAACAAATGGTGCTGGTTAAACTGGATGTCTGCATGTAGAAGAATGCAAAAAGGGCTGGAGAGATGGCTCAGAGGTAAAGGACACTGGCTGCACTTCCAGAGGTCCTGAGTTCAATTCCCAGCACCCATATGGTGGCTCACAACCATCTGTAATGAGATCTGGCTCCCTCTTCTGGACTGCAGGGATACATGCAAACAGAACACTGTATACATAATAAATAAATAAATCTTTAAAACAAAGAAGAAGGAAGAATACAAATAGATCTATACTCATCACTTCATCACTTGCACAGAACTGGAGTCCACATTATAGGAGACTGTATGACCATGCCCTGTGTGAAATGTTAGCTGCTGAGTGCTGTATGCTACACACAAGCCACAGCCAAATGCCCAGTGTCTCAATGCTCTCACCTGACTGAAGTGAGACAAACAGATTTGCAGTTACCACCATGAGAGAGTTGTCCAATCAGAAATTTCAGTGGCTCAGGCTAACCTCCCCAAACTGTACACCCACCAACTTGGTTTTCGTTCATTCACATGGTATGAATTAATACATACTGGGGAAGTACACAGAAAGGCACTCACCTGCCCAATCATGTCCTTTTTTATAACAGAGACACCTGCAGCTCACTGACTTAAACAATCTCCAATCTAGCTATGGCCTAGTCAATTTTCCCCTGTGGTATATACAATAAACTATTCCTTCTACTCTGGTCTCAATAGAGAAGCCATGCTCCACACACAAATCCTATCCCTGTTAGTGCAATGGACAGCCCATTCCATGACTCCAATGGGTAGTTTGAGAAGTGTGTGCTACTTACAGGGTGGTGGTGGCACACGCCTTTAATCTCAGCACTCAGGAGGCACAGGCAGCTGAATCTCTGTGAGTTTGAGGCCAGCCTGGTCTACAGTGTGAGTTCCAGAACAGCCCAGGCTACATAGAGAAACTCTGTCTAAGGAAAAAAAAATTGTGTGTGCTGCTGCAAACCTTTAATCAAGAACTGAGGAGGCTGAGTTCTGAGGACAGCAGCGTTATTGCCCTGTGGGCCTAAACACTGGAACCAAGCCAAAGAGAGTCAACATAACAAACCTTATCTTAAAATATTGTTCTGAAAGCTGAAAGGTGTGACTGATTTGGAATTAATGTGAATTCCCAATGAGACATCATGCCACACACTTAGAGATTAATTGAGAAAACTCTCCTTAGAAATAGAAAGCCTCCAGCTCTACCTAACACACAAAGAGGAGCTGGCCAGGAACAGATTTGCCAACTTGTATATACAATAGGCTTATGCACTCCACATATGCTCTCAACCTGGAGATGTGTTGATTACTGCCCTCCTGATAGCATGGCTTGCTCAGTTTGATTCCTTATAGAACTCAGGACCACCTGCCCAGGGTAGCACCAACCACAGTGGGTTGGGCCCTATTACATCAACCACTAATCAAGCAAATACCCTATAGGTTTACCTACAGACCAGTGTGACTCCACCTTGTGTCAAGCTGACCAAAGCTAACCAGCATACCTACTGAGTCATCTCACAGGCCCCAAAGACAGATTGTTAAGCAAACCTCAACTCTCTTAACGCTTGCTTTTCAGCATATACTTGTGCATGCACACACATGAAGTTTTGAAAATCTGTCAAGTTTAGGGCTGGAGAGATGGTTCAGCAGTTACCACCACTTACTGCTCTTGTAGAAGACCTGGGTTGGGTCCCAGCACTAATCTGGTGGCACACAATCATCACTAAATCCCCTTGCAGAGGATCTGATGTCCCCTACTGTGTTGTGTGGACACCAAACACACACACAATGAACATACATTTATGCAAGCAAAACACCCACACACATAGAATAAAATAAATAAACAGAGCTAATTAAAAACACATACCGTTGAGGGGAGCCGTGGCACACACCATTAATCCCAGAGGCAGAGGCAGGTGGATCTCTGGGTTCGAGAACAGCCTGGTCAACACAAAGTACTAAGACAACCAAGGCTACACAGAGAAACCCTATCTTGAAAAATTAAATAAACAAATAAAACCATATCCACATATCACTTTTATGTCACCATGGATAAAACAGCCAGAAATACATGGAAATTTGTCAAATATCTGAAGGCAAAGCTATAAATTTGTAATAAAAAGAATCAAGGAACTAAATAAAAGGAGAGAAATTCCAGGATGGTGGACAGGAAGCCTCAATATTATTTCAGTACAAAATTGAGTAACAGATTCAGGAACAGTAAAGTAAAAAGTCCAACAATTTTTCATACCAACCATAGAATATTGATGACAAAGGTCATCATGAATGAAAAAATGATCAACATAAGATTAGGTAAATAAACAGCACACACTCTGACACCATCTGAATTTAAAACATCATACAACTGTAATGAAGACTGGACTGTCTGGGAAAGAATTAAGAGATCATCAGAAGAGGGGGACAAACTTAGAAATGAAAACACAATTAATATGGAGTTAATTGTGACACAGGAGGCCAGGAAACCCAGTAAGAATGGCGTTACTGACACACGTGACTGGACCACCCTGTCATCTACACGCAAATGTGTTAATGGCACAAAATTCACACCCTGCACAGAATTACTGCGGACAGATCTACCTACACCTGAATGTTCAGTGCCAAGTGCAGAACTTCTAGAAGACACTAGAGACACCAGGGCTCTGAGAGTTTGAAAATCTGTCTTCGCTGGACACAGTAAAAACAGCGCATACATGAGCCCTGCACCATAACTTTGGCAACAAGTACGTTTCCACCCCAGGTTTCCCGCCTCCCACGCTCTGCGCATGCGCACCCGGGTGACCACGTAATTACTTGGTCCGCCAGTTCCCGCCCAGCTCCCGGAAGTGGCATGGCCCTTGTGTGACCTCACTGTGTTGGGCGGCTGTTTCCCACAGCCTAGGAGGACCCCACACCTGTTCCCAAGGCTCCTCCCCGCATGGGGACGGCGGCCCCTCGCTCACCATGGCGGATTCCCAGCTCGCCCCGCTCCCCTCCCAGCTCCCGGCAGCCGGTCACAGCGCAGCACACGGAACACGAGGGTCTCCCTTCCTCAGTCACGGAGCCCCAGGAGCCTTCACCATGGGGGTCGGAAGTACCCGCCCACGTTCTGACTGGAAGTCCATCTGGAGGCCGTGATTGGATAGTGATGCCTGAGTGACAGGGGCAGCTCCCTTAGAGACAGAGTGCAGTGAAAAGATGCAAACGCCCATTGTGATGGCGCTGTCCAGTAGGATTTGCAGAAGGAGGCGGAGGCAGTAGGATCACGAGTTCGAGGCCAGCCTGGGCTACACATTTTAGCACTGATGGAGCTTCCAGAGATTGTGAGTTCAATTACCAGCAACCACGTAATGGCTCACAGCCATCTATAATGAGATCTGGTGCCCTCACCTGGCGTGCAGGCATAATGGAGGCAGAATGTTGAATACATAATAAAAAAATAAATCTCTTTTAAAAAAAAAAAAATATACCCTGTAGTCTAGATCCTGAGCAGCTGTTGGGGAAGAACCGCTGTAGTTCCCAACTGTCCCAGACCTGCAGAGATTGGCATTGAAGCAAAAACTTGCACCTGGTCTGCAGAGTCGTCCATGAACTTGTCCCTCACTCAGTAGACAATTCTCCATCTGCCCACAGGGTCTCTCTAGCATATGAAGATCATTAAACAATGTGCAGTGGAGTGACCCCCTCCCTCACCGCTGAAATGGTACCCAGTCCACCCAGTTCAAATACAAACCACCTGACTGATATTCACCAGGCACCAGCAATTGCAATAAGGCACACCTAGGACTGCTCACACCTCTCTCAGCTGCACCTTGCCATCCAAACACTGACACTTTCCCAGCTTTCTATGGTGGCACTGACCTACCATGCCAGCACTTGGGAGGTAGAGACAGGAATGACATCAAAGGGTTAAACCAGCTTGTGACCTGAAACACCAGCAATTAGGGGCCCCGATGAGGAGGTGTTCAGGGTGACGACCTGGAATGAGAAGATAGAAAGTTATGGAACAGTACATATTGCATAAACTGATGGCTCATGCTAAGCAAGTTTATTAGTACAGCTCTTACACACCATTTGATGGGGGCGGGGCAGGAAGAACACAGGCAACCTCAGGCTGAGCACCTGGAGGCCTAGGGACTGATAGCCACACCCCCTCAGGCTAAAGAGTGTGGAACCCTTGACTCCTTCAACACAATGGCTCAAATACGAAAACAGATTTCGCCATGTCTACCCTTATGCCAACACACAGAACTAGGGTCCCTTGGATGATTTCATCAGGGCCTCAGAAAAAGCCTTGCTTGGACTAAATCCAAATAGCCCACCTCCAACCTCATCAAACAAAAACACATATGAAAATGGAAACTTGCTTTTGTGGGGAGTTTTATCCTGTGTCCTGCCTGCAGGCCATCCACTGAAGTTTCATGCAAGCCACACTAACACTTGAATGGCATGTTCTGCCACAAGCCGCAGGAAAACGTAATGGAATTCAGCTACCATCACAAAAGCTACTACTTAGAAAAGTAAGATTACAGAAAGAAAGAAAGCCTGTTTTCACACAATCACCCTTAATTTATCTGGTAGCTGTACATCAGCTACCTGATCAAGAGAATGTACAAAATACTTGGATTCCAGTTGAAATGTTAGACTTACGAAGATTTAAGGAGGCAATAGTATCTTATGACATGCATTCCCCATATGTAAAGCAAATGTTAAACTCCTGGTCAACATATAATAGGATTATACCACAGGACTGGCAGGAGATGGCACAGGCTGTTCTGGAACCTGGACAGCAGCTCCAGTGGCTAATATGGTTCGAGGAGGAGACTAAAAATATAGAAAACAATGGAGGGATAAAGGAACACAAGTCTTCCAGGATCAGCTTACTGGAGAAGGTCAATATGCTTCAGTACAAACACAGTGTTTATATGATGTCCAAACCCTAATTCTATGTCAAATGGCAGCCTTGAATGCATGGGACAGAGCTGAGGAACCAGGAAAAAAAAAAAAAACTGAGTCATTTACAAAGGTTATACAGGGCCCAAAAGAATCTTTCACAGATTTCTTACAAAGATTGACCTCAGCAGTACAGAGAATGATCCCAAATTCAGAAGCTAGTCAGATAATAATGGAATCTTTGGCCTTTGAGAATGAGAATGCAGCATACAAAAGAATAATCAGCCAGTAAAGGCAATATCTGCACCCTTGGAAGATTGGATTAGAGACACGGTTAATGTTGAGGCTCATGACCATGATTATATGTGGGTAGGAGAAGCAATTTCAAAAGGTTTGAGGAATGTTAGATGTTTTGGATGTGGAAAACAAGAACATTTGAAAAGGGACTGTAGACAGGTCATTCCTAGAAACAATGTTTCTTCAAGGAACAATGGCAACAGAATGTCCTTCCTTCTGGAGTATGCAGAAGGTGTGGTAAGGGAAAACACTGGACCAATGAATGTAGATCAACAACGGACAGGCAATGTAATCCTTTGCCTCGGTCTTAGGGAAACTCCCAGAGGGGCCTAAGGCAGGCCCCCACAGCAAATCCAGCTCAAACCTTTCCTGCAGTTGTAGAGGAAACCCTTACTCAGAGCAATTAAATAACCACATGCCTATTGGAATAAATCATGCTGATCGGGATGATGAAACAGAGAGAATAGAAAATTCATGAAAAAACATAAAGAAATTTTTTGGCAAACTTCTATTAATGAACAAAGACCAAAATTAACAATAAAAATAAATGGTGTTTTGTTGTCTGGTCTGGTAAACAAAGGTGCGGACATTACCATAATTGCACCAGAATTTTGGCATCCAACTTGGCCTCTTCAGGAGGTAAACGTTCAACTGTTAGGAATTGGGACGTTATTTTGAGTGAAACAGAGTGCAAGATGGATCAAATGTATAGGTCAAGAAGGACAGAGAGGAAAATTAAAACCATATGTGGCTAACACAGCTATGAACCTGTGGGGTCGAGACCTGTTGCAACAATGGAATACTCAGATTAACATCCCTCCAACCTCAGAAACAAATCATAAAATAGCACATGTTACTGAGAGAAATATTAGAAGATATTATTCTAGTGAGTGGTCACCAGCCATCCATATTAAACGAGAACAGGGTACAACTGATGATCTCCCAAAGACACCAACAGCTCTACCTTTAAAATGGTTAACAGAGAAGCCTGTATGGGTTCATCAATGGCCTTTAACAACAGAGAAACTCCAGGCTTTAGAAGAGCTGGTAGAAGAACCGTTAAATGCTCAGCATATTGACGAACCAACCAGCCTTTGGAATTCTCCTCTATTTGTTATTACAAAGAAATCTGGTAAATGGAGAATGGTAACAGACCTTAGAGCAATTAACAAGGTAATTCAGCCAATGGGATCCCTACAATCTGGAATTCCTTTGCCTACTCTGTTGCCAAAAGGCTGGCCTCTCATAGTTATTGATTTAAAAGACTGTTTCTTTTCAATACCCTTACTAGAAAAAGACAGAGAAAGATTTGATTTCACAGTGCCTACTTATAATAATTCTCAACCGGTTAAAAGATTTCAATGGAGGATCCTCCCACAGGGAATGTTGAATAGCCAAACTCTGTGCCAATATTTTGTACAACAGCCATTGGAAGTGATACGGAAAAAATTTTCTAAATCTATAATTTATCATTATATGGATGATATTTTACTAGCTGACTCAAATGCAGATACTTTAGAAAGAATGTTTGAAGAAGTAAAGAAAATTTTGCCTTGTTGGGGACTACAAATTGCTCCTGAAAAGATACAAAGAGGAGATTCTATTAATTATTTAGGATATAAAAGAGGTACAAAAAATTAGACCCCAAAAGGTGCAAATTAGGAGAGATTGACTACAGACTCTTAATGACTTTCAAAGATTATTTGGAGACATTTTTCATCTAAGAACAATTGTTGGGGTAAAAAATGATGAACTGAATAATTTGTTCAAAACCTTAGAAGGTGACAAGGACTTAAATAGTC